ACAAATACTCTTCACAGAAGTGTCATTTATGAATGCTATGAATGTCCTTTAATCATCCATACTTCATATTCTAGGCATGGCATGCCACATCAGAGCAGTGAATCTGACACCACCAGGATTACATGGTGCTTTGTCTCCTCCATCACTCCGAGAGTTTTGAGAATATAAACAAGATATAAAGACCTTGGGAAAAATGATGGGAATTAATGCTCTGTTTCATGCCATTTAGACTCTGGCAGATCTGTCTTATAATGAATGCAGATATTATTTGAGCCTGAAAATTTGTGAGAATTCTTTGAATGTGGCTGGTTCTGAATTCACAATGTCCCTTAGTCTACATTAATCTTATTGAAACTCATGGGAGGGGGAAGACTTGATATTTCCTAGGATGGAAGAGGAGATTCCAGTTTACATCTGCATTACTGCAGTGTTATGCCAGTGCAACCCAGTGATTTCAGTGAGGGTAACACTGGTGCAGCACAGCCCTGGCACTGCCCATGAGCTTACTGTGGGCAGAAACTTAATTTGCAAATGATTCACCAGCATAAAACAAACTCATCCTCTTGAAGGTGAATGCCATGTTGCTAAACTGAAGTCACAGCCATTGTCTGCCTCCAAGGAAGGTCACACTGCCCTTTGCTCACAGGCACAGGTCACTGTCAGTGTTCCCGTGCTGGCTGTGCCTGGGTAACAGAGATGGAGAGCAGGAGATCCTGTCTCTGTGTGTCCTTCACAGTACTGTTCCATTTTCCTTGTCTTTGCAGCTTAGCAGATTAGCAGGGCTGGACAGGACTGCTGAAGGGGAGTCTAGACAGCAAATGCTGTCAAGAAGTGCAATTCTGGTGATATTAAAGAAATGCAATGGCAGCAGGAGCGACTGTCCTCTCCATGCGTCAGTTCTGTTTTGTGGATAAGGACATAGGCAGATGGAGCATCAATTTCCTTTCCCTGTCACCTCCCGAGGTGACTCCCCTGTGGACACATGCACATCAGGGACTGTGCTTGCTTGCACCTCTCAGGCTCAGTCATTGAAGCTATGAACCTCAGATACGTGATATGGTGCTTTGTAGTTCAATTAAAAAATGCTCCTGGGACAAGCTTCTCTCTAAACCTGAGCATTAAAGCCAAACCTTCCTGTTCTCCCACTCTTTCTATCAATTTCCCAATTACGAGTGTCATCCTTTTTGTATTTCAAAAAACAAAAAGTTAAATGGATCTTAGAAGGATGTTAGTGACTACACTGCTTCATGTTTTAAAAGATAGTCTGTGACTCTCCTGTCCTGGTATAGCATTTGCTATGTCAGGAAAGAACTTGTGCCACTCAAGCACCTGCTCTTTTTCTCTGCTTTACTGGTGAAAGCTAATGGCAAGACAGGTAGCAATAGGAGGGATAGGAGATGTGCTTGTCTTCAGGTACCTGCCCAGCTAAAGGAAAACTAATGGGATTTGTAGATTTATTTGTAATGTAAAAAAATTATTCTGGGGGACCTGCAAAGTCTGATGATGAATTCAACAGATTGGTTCACTTGCTCAGAACAGGCACTTTTGCTCCCTGTTTCACTCTGGAGCTGAACAAAAAGTACCATAATTTCATCACTGAACACGGTGTGGCAAGACACAAAAACTGGTGGAAAACCTTTGACTTCAACAATGCTTGGCATGGGTGTAAATGGAGACTGACTTTGACCCTCTTTGACTTACACAAAAGCAAGTAATGTATTTGATCCTCTCCAGGCCAACCTTTCTGAGCCATTTTGTCCTAGTGAAGTCAATGCACAAATATAATTTCCAAATGCACAAAATTTGCACAATTTGTAAATTCACAGTTAGACACTGGGCTCGGTCTCACCAAGCCTCATTCCTGTACCTGAGGCAGCAGAAGGGCAATGTTTTAAATGGCCAGTTGGACCCTTCATTAGACAAAGGGCTCCTAGGCAAGGTAGTGACAGCTTTCACAAAACCACTAACCCAGCATAGAAGATACACTAGAAGACTCAGGAGACATGACCACTAGGCATTGGCCAATAATTCTCTGTTAGAAGTTTGGTCTTTGATTACTTTTGCATCTAGACAATGCTCTAGAATAGCTTTGAGTCATCTCTTTGCTGGCTGCAGAGTCGTGTGTAAGTAATCTAGTGGAAGCAGGATGGAGGAACAGATTGTACTAAGATGAAAGACTTAGTTACATTAATGGAAATAGTTACATTAAACCAGAATCAAATTAATTTAACTGGAATAAAGCCTCCTGAAGCTCTACCCCAGCATATTACATGAAATAACTCAGAGGATACAAGTTCCCTTCTCCTTTGTGGAGCTAAACCTTTGCTGCCTCCAGGGATGGCAGCACCATGGGGACTGCTGGGACTACTGAGGCAAACACAGGTGACATGGGGCAGCAGTTTCGCCAGTTATCTTCACTGGTATCAGCTAGAGCCTCTCATTTGAGAAAAATATGTTTTAAAACCCCTCAGGCTCTGCCAGGCTACATCAGAAGGAACTGAAAGCAACAAGAGATGAGAAGGTAACTTTTAAATGGTAAAAAATCCTAAAATTAACACTGTTCCTGAAATGTTGTGAATCTCCTTTGCTTTCTTGGCTCTCAGTCCCTCTTTATTCCTTTGAGTATATGGGAAGTCACAAATAATGTAACTCCATAAATCACAGTAACTACCCTTTATACACTCATCTGCTCACGCAGCTGCACATTTCATTTCTACTGTTTTACTGTGATAGGGAGGAAAACCTAATACACTTGGGCAGTCATGGTTTTCACTTGAATTTGTCAATGGTGAAATTATACGTAGTGTTCTAGTGTCCATGAGGATGCTAGATTTTTTAATATTACTACTACCATGGTCCTGCTTTAAAGACTGTAATGCTAGTGGACATCAACTTTTGTAACTCTCCATGCTTTTTCTTGGCCTCACTAATAACTCTGAGTGGGAAGCAGCTTAGTGGTTTCTCCTGAAGGGTTGCTTCTTGCCAGGAGATGGGTTTTGGTCAGTACAGATAAACCAAGTACCTATTGCCATCCCACTTCATGCTTACAGCAATAGCAACTTCAGCAAAATGCTTGGGAAGGGACTAGGTGCTCCCATCAGAGAGAGAGTACATACTGCACCACCAGACAGAGTGGTAAACTAGCTCAGGATCTTTAAAGTATATCTACATCTACACAAGGAGGCAAGAACAGGCTCCAACCTATCACCTCAGTCCAAGAGCTGAGCAAGTTACAGATACTTCCAGTGGAAAGGACTGTTCCAGGCTAAGCCCAGCCCATGCCTAACCTGACCATGCTGAGAAAATGAAACCATGGTGCTTGTAATAAAACATGGATTGCTTTGGGTTCTCCCTTACCAGCTCTGCTGCTGAACCCATGTGAGAGGGGGTACAGATTAACATATTAAGGCATAAATAAGATGTATGGCAGAGAGCAGGGACTGGACAGGGAGATTAGAGCATGCCTGAATGGGTGCTGGGTCCTTACTCTCTGATATACGATGGCAACCTCCATGACTGTATTCAGCACTAAGGGTCCCCTTTGTATTCTATCCAGAGACCTGAAAGCTGACTGCGTACGTGAACCTACACAACTGCTCCGGGGCTCCATGACCTCCAACAGTAACCACTTACGTCATTTCTATACTGTCTGCTGACATAGCAACGGAGGTTGGGATTTTCATCGGGTGATGCTCATCGTGCAGGTACCTGTCCTGTGGCTATGTAGCTCTATCGAAACCTCTGAGAGCTTTGTCATTGACTTCAGTGTGGTCACTCCAAATAAAGATCCAGCCCAAAGGCACTAGATACAGTTTTTTAATGAAATCTTAGAGCATAAGAGTCCTCGCTGCAGCCTCAACTTTTAGTTTAAAGCACTTCAGATAATTTACTTCTGCTGTCAGGAAATACAATTCTTAACCCTAAGGTAATGATCTTACTTCAATATAGGTGCCTGATACCATCTGCCAGCTTTTTATCTTCAAATATCAAATGTATTTTCATTGCATCTCTTGCACAGGCTACGTACATATGATGCTATGCAGTAACAAAAAGCAAAATGTGTGATTTTTTAATTATCCTTCTGCTCTTCTATTTTTTAATCTCCAGATGGTCCCTGGGACTGGTGATGTTTTCTTTAGTCTATATATTTCCTGCTTTAATTACCTTACTTAACCAGTAAGCTTTAATTTGCTTACTTAACCAGAACACATTTGAGACACACATGTGATCACATAATATCAGGTGCTAACGTTTAATTGCTTTCACAAAATTAGAAGCGGATAAATGGTTGAACCATAATTGAATGATCTTATTAGAAGACAAGCTGATCAGTGTTGTGACATAACTTGAGAGATTCCCAGGCTTGCATTAATTTCACATCAGCTGAGGCTGCTTTCATGACAGCGAGCACAATGCGATTGCTCTCTAAGACAGCAAGATCAGAGCTAGGTGACTGAGATCTGCCATACATATTTATCAGCTGAGGGGCTGGCACAATTTGTATCACTATCTAAGAGCAGTGAAGGAAGCTATTGCTTCGATTTACCACCTCCCAGGAAAAAAAAATGCAACAAACATATCTTTTGGGGGGGTATTTTGAAAAAAGCCGTATCTTTCTCCATCCCTGCCTTTCCCCAGCACATGTGAGAAAGGACAGGTGGCCTCCAAGGCCATCTGTCCCTTCAGGGGTTTTGTCGGGAAATGTCAGGTAGGTAGTGCTGAGAGAGGTGGGATCTGACATGAGAGCAGTGGGGATCTGACATGTGTTTGTATGGATGGGTTGGCTGGAGCAAGTCTGAGGTTTCTCCTTGTACCAGATTCAAAGATTTTTATTGCTTGGTGAAAGATCTGAGCAAAGGTTGAGTGAAATTCTCAGAATCTGCACCCTCTATGCAGCCCACACGGCTATCATTAACTGGTACACAGGAATGTCTGGTTTTGGCATGGCCACAGTAATTTTACTTGGGTGTTAAGATGGAGAGGAGTCATGCAGTACTTACAGGATCCCTTTTTACAAGGCCTGGGTTAGGCACAACAGCAATGAGGTGGGCAATTGTAAACACGGAGTTCAGCACATAAGAAAAAAACAAATTCTTATGCAGTGTTATCCTTTGACAGCTGAGGCTCCTGAAAAATATGTAACACACGTTGTAAATTAGTATTTTTCTTCTGATGTCACTTTAACGAGCTCTTTCTGGCAACAGTCTCTCAAGAATGCCTTTTGGCAAGGCTAATTGGAAAATACATGCCTTGCATTGCAGCCATAACCTCTGACAAATTTTGGTTTTGTTTTTACACCTGTTTAGCACCACATGTTTTTTAGACCATGTTGTAAAGAGCCATCCGGCAACATTCTCAACCCTTGATGCTTTTCTTTATTTCATGGTAATTGAGATATTATACAGTGAAGCAGAACCCTGAGAATTATTAGATGCGCATGATACAAGTAATGAACATCAGAAATACTGCTTTGTAAGTAACTGTTCCCTGAACAGTCAATTTCTCAAACATTCAATGAAAACTATTTGCTACTTTAGGAATTAGTGGTGAGACAGGATGGGAATTTTGGACAGGAATCTCTTTAAATTACAAGGGGATTTGGGTTGGTATCCTGCATGTTTCTAAGTCCAGCTGAGATCCCAAACCAGAAGAGGTTGTTTTCCTGCTCAGAAGGAGTAACAATCTTTTATGAATGACTGATTCTGGGGAGGGTAGGATTTCCGCTATTATGCGTAACAGATTCCACAAAAGAAGTTCGCAGAACTCTTGTGAAACCAAATCATGACTGCAGTTTCAGACTTGAACCGTCTTCCCTTTCTAGTTCATGCCCAGATCCTCTTGCCACCTCGTTGGCTACCCCTGGTGCAGAGAACAACACCCCCCAGTGCTCCATACACCAGAGCGCAGCCCGGGGCTGGCAGGAGGTGACTGCAGAAAAGCAATCATGGAGTTGTTATATAATGCTGTAATGTCTGTATTCAGTGATCACTGAGAGCAAGCAGGCAAAACCTGTAGGTAAAAAACAGCTAAGAAGAGTAAGTACTGCTGTCTCTCTCACTGAGGTAAGCTTAACCCTTGGCACTAGGAGTCTTTTGTAGACTGGAAGGGAGCAGAGTCTGTGACTTTTCGATGCTCTACATGTGCAGTTCAACACAGAATGCACTTTCTTTAAAACCAGAGAGCTAATCTAACCAACTGAACTGTTTTCTGCTTATTTTACATGTTAATTTGATTATTTATTTTCCATTTTTAGCTCCTTGGTCACTTGCCACTTACTCTTAGTTCTCCTTACATCTATTTTATGAGTCATTGGATGGAATTCTTCCTTCAGCTTGAGGTCGTCTTTCTGGTTATGGCCATCATCATCCTGCAGTGTTCATCACTTTTGTTGACCTCCTAATTTACCAAGACACCTTCTTTGGTTCAGGATGTTCATGAGATGCAGGTCCTGGGGGTTAGGAATGACAGTATCTCTTTGCACTTGCCCTGATTTTATATTCTTCCTTTAGCATCAGCTGTTGGCAACTGCTGAGCACCAACTATGGGGGTAGGCCCACTTTCAGTTTGATCCACAGTGGGACAGGATATTGGGCAAAACAGACTGTTCTTTGGAGCTGTATTTGCTACACTGTGTCCTTATGCTTGTGTACTCCACCTGTATTTGCCCAGATCACAAACCTAGTCTAATGATCCTTTTCTGCTCCTAAGCTCTGGTGGTATTTATTGAGTTCTGAGTCTTTCTCCCCATTCTCCATCACTGTACTTCACCCGCGCTACTGATACCACTTTTCCTGGGAGTGCCCATCACCCTCTGCTTTCTCTTACAGTTCGAGGAACCGGATTGGTGTGATACCTATTACTTAGAGCATTCTCTTTAGCTCCTGGCCACAGAAATGAAGACCCTTGTCTCTCCAGCTGCCTCTCTACATGGCTACTGGTACACAGTGTTTTGTTTTGTGATAATCTCTGCCAGGTACATGTGCCTCCACTCCCATTTCTCTCCTTCCTCACTTCTCCTCTTGAATTTTGCCAGTCTTATTCCTTTTAAATTGGACTGTTCTTCACTGCATGTTGCCTTCATCTGCTGTTCAAGCTCCCTTCCCTGTCTACTTTCCTCTTAGTTTTACTCCTGCATTGCTCTCCTCCTTTCCTCTCAGTATTCCTCACCTTTTTCCTTGAATCCAGATTTCATGTTAAAGATCAATCTGGATCATTAAATGTATATTTCCATACACTCACTTTTTAATTTGATCTTCAGCATTTGCCTTCAAAATGGCATCAGCACCTGCCTGACTTGGTCCACACTGAGAACGTTTTGCAAAACAACCCCCCTTATTTGATTAATTCTCTCTGCTAGTTTTCACAATCATTTGTAATCCTCTCCTTCTCTGACCTCTTCCTGTCCCTCTTACTGATTACCTAATCATTCCTTTGAGGTGTTTTTGAAGGCTCCTTGTTGCTCCGACTCATCTTTTTGAATGTTCCCTACTCTGCTTCATTAATCAGTATGCAAGAAGGCATCGCTAACCCATGTCTAAAACTTGTGAATTTTTGTGTTGCTATGTCTCTATCAATTGTGTCAGAGTTTCAGTGTCCTATGTTTCTTCTGGTTCCCCTGTGTTTCACATTTATTCTATGTCTCCTACATTTCCTTTGACATAGAAAGGTTCTCCTATCTACTCAGAGACACCCTTACTTCTAAATTACTATCTCCTCTTCTCTATTGCATCTAGGATATCTTGACTTTCAAGAGCTTTTAGCATTATTTTCTCCATAGATCTGTGCTGTGAATCTGTCATTTCTTTTCATTCATGAATACAGAAAATTTCATCTCCAGCCACTTATTTTCCATCTCCTACCCACTTTTTTAGTTTTCAAATTATTTTCATGCTTTCTACCATGATCTCCCTTACCTCTCAGGAAAATGTCCAATAAATTACGATAGATTATTCTTCCACCCATTATCCTTCTTCCACTCCCTTTAAAAGCCTTGACAACAATTAGACTGCAGGTGCATTCACAACACACCATCTATTATTCTGGCAAATACAGACGTATTGTACACCTCATCTGTTTTTATACAAATTTTATCCCCAGCAGTGCTACAGGCTTGGGGAGGAGTGGCTGGAGAGCTGCCAGTCAGAGAGGGACCTGAGGGGGTTGATTGACAGCCGCCTGAACAGGAGCCAGCAGTGTGCCCAGGTGGCCAAGAAGGCCAATGGCATCCTGGCTTGTGTCAGCAATAGCGTGGCCAGCAGGGACAGGGAAGGGATCTGACCCCTGTACTCGGCACTGGTGAGGCCGCCCCTCGATTCCTGTGTTCAGTTTTGGCCCCTCACTACAAAAAGGACATTGAATGACTCGAGCGTGTCCAGAGAAGGGCAACGGAGCTGGTGCAGGGTCTGGAGCACAGGTCGTACAGGAGTGGCTGAGGGAACTGGGGGTGTTTAGTCTGGAGAAGAGGAGGCTGAGGGGAGACCTCATCGCCCTCTACAGCTACCTGAAAGGAGGGTGCAGAGAGCTGGGGATGAGCCTCTTTAACCAAGTAACAAGTGACATGACAAGAGGGAATGACCTCAAGTTGTGCCAGGGAAGGTTTAGACTGGATATTAGGAAGCATTTCTTTCCAGAACGGGTTGTTGGGCGTTGGAATGGGCTGCCCAGGGAAGTGGTGGAGTCCCCATCCCTGGAGGTGTTTAAGAGTTGGGTCAACATAGCACTGAGGGATCTGGTGTAGTTGGGAACTGTCAGTGTTAGGTTAAGGGTTGGACTGGATGATCTTCAAGGTCTTTCCAACCTAGACAATTCTGTGAAATGTCTTTGTTTTAATAATTCAATTGGCAGTGATTTGGAGCTAGGAGTCCCTTTTTCCATTTGTGTTTTATCATGTAACACAATGGGGTCTCAATTTGCAATATGAAAATATTGCAATAATATGATGCATGTAACTGTTAGACACTTATTTTATGAATACTCTGTCTCCTGTAATGCTTTAGTATTGCTTAGTGATGCTCATCACTACTGGTTCAGTATTCCCTTCCGAAAATACTGCAACATCTGTGATGCCAGATCATTATGAATATGATACCCAAAGCTAAAAGGAAAATAAATCTCTGCCAGCAGGGGAAGCAGCAACCTCTGCAAGCTGTTTGTGGCTGCCTCTACAGTCAAAATCTATTATACAGTCCCAAAACCATCTCTTGCTGTCTGATTGACAGCTTGCCTTCTATTGAAGGCCAAATAATCTACTGCTGTCATAGCCAGTTGATAGAAAACAACTGAAGGTAACATCAACCCTGCTCCCATACAGCTTTATTCTCACTTTCTTATGACTGTAGTTTGATTTCCTCTTTGTCCTCCCATTTTGCAGCACTCGATTTAATTCCTTTCTCCACTTCTTCCTGTGACCTTTCTGTCATGGATTAGCCATAGAAGGAGAAGGAGAGGTGGAGGAGGAGGCAGGAGGAGCTGTGTTACTGTCTGAAAAGCTGCTGAAAAGATGAGTCTTTCAGCGTGGTCTGGGACTGGACAGGATTGTGTGTTGTCCATGACTCAGAGCTAGGAGTGAGTCAAAGAGGATGACCCTGCCTCGCTTGCAGCAAGGAATCGCTTTCCACGTCCATTCTGGGTAGCAAATTTAACCACATCCTGTCTGTACTGTCCCAAAGAAATCGGAAGCCAGGGTATAGGATTCCAAATAAGATTAAATTGTGCTCTTCCCAGTTTTTTCAAGGCATTACTGTGGCTGTGGTTTTGTGCTCTTTATCTTTACTTAGATGGGAAGGGAATTCATCAGCTCATTGGGCAGAGTTTGTAGGTATCTCTGTATCTGACTACCGCATGTTATCACAGTCACTCATCAAACTGCCTCTCTGGAAATCAGCATAATGCACAACCTGTATTGTGGATCCACATATTTTGAGCTTGTAATCTTACAGCCTCTCATAGTTTATGAAAAGTCCAATCATTTAATTTTCCTATGGTTCCTAGACTCACTCTTGGTGGTGTTGATGCTGCGGGCTTGTTCTTTTACTACTCTTCCCATCTGACAGTTGAGGCACAGATACCTAATTGTATAGAACTAAGATTTATGCCAGATTCTTCTGGCCTGTCCATTTACTAAGCATACCCTTTTCCAGCCTATATGACACCCTTATCCATGGTGTACCTTTCCAGTGATCAGCAGCAGATGAAGTAACTAGGGAGAAGCTCTGCATAATGTTACTAAGAAAATTATTAGAAGGCACACAACCTGAACATATTCATAGATATGTAACATATATAGATCAAAACTGGGACCAAAAATAGGCTAAGGTGCCTCGTGTAAGATTTAGGTTAAATAATACTCTGAGGCTAGAAATGATTTAAGTACTGGCACAAGGTATCTGGGGTTTTGTGGAGCACTTTTCAGTGCAGGTTTTTAAAGCTCGGCAACCACCCCTTGTGAACTAGAGGTGGGGGTTCAGCAGGAGGTTCTTTTTATCCCCAAATGTATGCAATTACTATGCATGTGTAATCTGGAATTTGTGTACTATGTGCTGGTGGATTCTACAGATCTTCATATGTGTATTTGTGGCCTAAAAACCACATTTGAGAAACTCAGATAATGAAATTGATGGTATTTTGCAATCTCCTGTTTAAAGTTTGTCACACTGCACTGAAGTCTTCCATTTATGCTGCAGAACATTAAACCCACCAATACCAAGACACTTAACAAATGCCAGTTAGTTTAGACACATATATACTCTGTACTAAAAGGGTCATAGTAAATGTTAAAACTAAATGGTCATGATAGAAAATGCACTGGGTGTACTTAGTTACAATTGGCCTTAGACAAGAAGGAACAGCAAAGAATGTTTACAGAAATACCCTTTAAGATAAGATTGAAAGTCAAAGGAATAGAAAAAATGACCAATTTTTCCCTTTTCAGACTTGGAAATTTCAGTGTGAAAAACTGCTTTGGAAAATATTCTATGGAGAATGAATCCTGGTCTTTTTGAAAATAAGGTATATATATATATTTATGATTTGACATGAGTGGGAAGATATTAATTTAAAACCTGCTTATAATTCGCATTTACTATTTTGGTCACTAAGATCTGAAAAAAATGCATTTGATGTATTTGTTAAATTTGAGAGATTTGAGGTCTTGGTTTTGACTTTCATTTTTCTATGGGTAATACTTCTTTGTATCCTTGGAAACCTTTATCCAGGTAAAATTGGAAAACTTTACCTGGCCTTTTAGATTACCTTACAGTCATCTCCAGATACACTCTATTGATGGTGAGCATTTCCCTGTCTCTGGTCATGAACCGATGGTCTGGCTATCTAATGCACCTTTGCTGAAATCAGTAAGACACCATCCCATTTGTGTCATTATACTGGATGTATCATTCTTTTTCATCAAAGTATCTGTGAATGAACATTACAACCCTGATTTCTGAGTGTGCTCAGTCTGGGAAGTTTGCAGTTTATAGTAATGTTACAAAAGTGAAATATCTTAAAAAGATTGCTTAAGAGCTAGAAGAATATAGCTTATGCAAATCATCATAGATCTGGATGTACAATAGCTCAGGATCTTGTTCATTGTTTATTCTCGAACATTTTCTGCAGTGCCTTTGATGTCTTCTAGTGCTAACAATTTCCATGAGCTGAAAAATGAAGTCTGTTCCCAGACAGCCCTTCATTACTGATTGTGACTGAAGCTGCGACTACATGTCTGACAGCAAATCTGAGCTCCCTCTGCTCCTTCACTGCAGACACATTATAATAAATACGGTGCAGACAGATTCACTGAAGGACAAGATTTAAATGCTCTAGTTAAGTTGCCATACAGTAGTTCCAGTCCTTTCAGTGAATATCAATTTAGTCTCCTTTAAAGTTCTGATACAGCACATCACTATTTTTCCTTGTAATGATGATGACAGGCTACATACTAGTGTCAGATTCACTCAGTGCTGAGTCCTGTAAGCAGCGACTCAAGTCAATAGCTCAGTCCTTCAGCACTGGATGAAGGTATTCCTGTTCTTCCGGAACTGAGGGCTCCAAGCCACTGCCCTCTGCAGTCACTGCACCTGCCAGGGGCTGGATGTGCCCTTCAAGGCAACTGGTAAATGTACAGCCTTACTGCATCCCCAGTTACACCACTTCCCTATGGCCTGTGCTTCTCCACCAGTCTTGACAAATTTAACAGCATGGTCTTGGCTACACATGACAGGGAGATGTCCCATTGATGAGAGGACCCTGTGCTGAGACTTTTTAACCAGGATTATATAAAAAGACACTCAGAAGAGCTGTTTCTCACTGCATGTCCCAAGTTTTTCTTTGGTTATCACTTGAGATCCCTCAGGGAAAGAAGAGAGAATGTAAGAAACACTTACTTGAAATAGAAGAAAATTGCCAAGGAAATCAACAGGGATGTTATAGACAAAGCATGGCCAACGATCGCCATATAATAAAGTATGAACGCCATCTGCAATTTAACAAAAAGAAAAGGCAAGTATGAACGATTTGCTGGCACTCGTTTTTTTTTTCTCATTGAGGAAGAATCTATAAAATCAACCTCCCATTTTGTATTTCTTTTCCTTCAAAGGTTCTTTTTCAATGTATTTTTAATACCAACAATCTATTAAATAGCATGACTCATGGTCTAGAGACGAGATAAGTGTTTCTTACATGAGCTGATCTGTTTCTGCTGCACTGAAGTGACTGGTGAGATCCCTGCTCACACTATGCGTCACTACATTTCCCAAGCTCTAGGAGAGCACAGCAGACAGAATACATTCAGATTTTTAAAAAGACCATGACAAGTTTCCCCACAAAAAAAAAAAAAAAAAAAAAAAAAAAAAAAAAAAAAAAAAAAAAAAAAAA